AGTCCCAGCTCCTTGGTCACAGCTGGAGTGGCCGGAGTAGGAAGACCCTGGCGGCTCCAGATCAGCCTCACAGAGGAAGCTGGGCAGAGAGGCAGAGAAGGGAACGTGGTGAGGAGCGGGCACGCGGGCGAGCTACCTTCGGGCGTGACTCTGAGCCCTGGTTCTTTGGAAGCCTCTGCTGTTGGCCAGCAAACCTAAAGCTGTGTAAAAATATGAGGTTTTGGGGAAGTGGTGATGGAGCCAAGGGGAAGCGAGCAGGCTGACTTTGTGCAGTGCTGTCAGCAAAAGAGCCCTGGGGAGCAGCTGCCACCTCCGCCCCTGCCGCCCGACATCCTGTCTCGACAGTTCTAGGGCTCCAAGTCCTCCCCTCGAGTTTCTTCAAACACTGTTCTTTGCAGTTTGGGGAGGTGAGCAGTAAAGTTTTCAAGCCTTTTTTGGGAAGCTGCAAAAGATCCAATGAATGGTCTCTCCGGCCAGCCCTTCAGGATGTTAAGCAGAACCCCAGGGGCAAAGTTGCAGCTTCCCCTAGGTGTGTCAGGCCCCAGGAGGCTCCAGACCAGAGTGTGGGACGGGTGAGGCCTTTCCCTGCAATTCAGGGCCTATGATTCCTCCCAGATTCTTGCTACTGCAGTGGAATGGAGGTTTTTTTTTTAAAAAAAAAAAAAAAAAAAAAAACACTTTAAATAAAAAAATATATATATATTAAAACATGTAGGAAAGAAATTAAGCTCATGAATATTCACAATATTGACTGACTCTGGCGCCCCCACATGGTCTGATATGAGGTAGTTAGGATACCCAGGGTGTCCTGAGAGCAACCCCAGCAGCTCAGGGTTGTTTTCACCCGTTCATGTGCTTTGTGTGTATTGCAATTCAGTGCACCTTCTTAAATAGAAATGCCTGGTTTTAACTTAACAAATCCTCTCCACACAGGCAAATTTTAAAAGATTCTCCCAAACAAAGAAGATACTAAAATGCAAGTTAAAATGAACATTTTCAGAGCTGTCAATTCTCCGAGTTCAAGTAGAAGCTATTTGCAAACCCTGGAGTTGAGTTCTTGTAGTAGAGCTAAAAACTGGCGTGGCTCTCTTTTAGGTGGGGAAATCTCCTGGATCACACTTCACTTATACTCTATTGCTCTATAAAAAAAATTATTGTTTTGCCCTCTTATCCCATAAATGGTTTTCTTTCTGGCCCAGAGCTCCCCTTGAGGCCCAGCCTCACCAGCAGCTTGATTGTGCAATCGTCTCTGGTTCTGCCATCTCTTTTTAACTCTGAGCAGTTGYCAAACATCTTACGCTTTTGTTTTGTGCTCATAATTGTCGGGGTCACTCTCTTTTCCAGATCTGAAGATATTGATCTGATATTGATAACAGAGCAACATCAAAACCAGGGGCTCCTTGTACTTCTGAAAGCTCCTTCCCATGTTTGTTGGTGTGTTCCCCCACTTCGGAAAGGCTGTCATTCAGAACCTGGGCTCTGAAGCCACCAGCTTGGGCTTGAATGCCAGCTTTGCCACTTTCTTAGCCGTGCTCCTGGGACAAGTGATTTAACCCTTCTGAGCCTCCTCTTGTTCGGCAGTAATGACAATGTCTTTTCCACCAGAGAACATTGAATGAGACTGTGGATTAGAAAATGTTCAATATGGTGCCTGACTTCACAGAGAGGACTTGACAGGTCCTAGCTGTTCTATGATTTTCATTATATACCCACTGCCAGTCTATGCCACCTGCTTCACTGAGGCGCTTTTTCCTATTGAATCATCAAAAATGTATCGAGCACCTTCTCTCTGCCAGGCATCATGATAGGGGCTGGAGATGCAGGGAGGAAAAGCCATGGTCTCAGCTCTCCAGGAACTTGTAAGCCAACAAGTGAAGTCAGCCTAGCTCAGCCCGGAGGTGACCCTGGGAAGAGGCACATCGGGGCAGTTTCCTTCCAGGCCTGTTTATTTTCTAGGCGGACTCCAGGGGACSGGCCCTCTGGCCAGGCCAAGAGAGGGTGTGTACAGGGGAGAAAAAGTGAAAGAGAAGGACCCAGCCACAGGTTCCCTGGTGTGGTGGAGCGTATGGTTTCTAGGGGAGAAGCAGGTGGCAGGAGCCTGCAGAGACTGTGAGACCCCATTGTGGAAGGGCTTCTACCGAAAGTCCAAGGAACGTGGACTTGAATGGCAACCTGGAGGCACTATGGAGATAAAGTGGCTTTTAATTTGGGGACTGGCGATCGGTGGGAGCGGTTTCAGCAGTATCATTCCGGTCACCAGAGAAGATGCGGTGAGACCAGTGAACATCACCAAGCCTGGGGGTGGGCTGTGAGTGCCGGTGGAGGAACAGGTGAACGAAGGAACCAGGGCCCTGGTTCCTGTCTCTTCTCTCCCCCAGCCAGCCTTTCTGATTTTAATTTACAGTGAACAAGACACGCAGGTCCCATTCATGGGCTGAAATGGAAAGTGACTGGTAGAACCTTGACCCTCACCCCTCAGATTACCCCCGTGTCTCTTCAGAAAACACCAAGGAAGGCCCTGCCTTGTTCACAGAAAAGCCCCTGAGGTAGGTGCATAGGTGTTGGGGCAGAATTCCCAGGTGGGAAGAAGTGGCTAGGTTGGTGGCCCCAAGTACRTCTCCTGCCCCTCCTCTTCCAGTGGGTTATTTGCTCCTGGGTGACCTRGTCTTGGACACAGACCCCCTTCCCTGGTTTTTCTACCCCAGYAGAGATGGGCTGGTTCCAAAAGAACCTCCCCAGGTAATGAAGGAGRACAAAAGGGGAAAGAATGTGAAAGCACAGACTGACCAGGTTTCCAGATCCATGTAYCAGAGACGTTCCTGACAATGCCAGKCACCASTCCACTTCCAAGGGCTGAGCAGTTGCTCATGCGCTGTTCCTGACCTTGACCACCTTTGCCCCACTCCACCTTCTTCACCATGGCTACACACCAGCCATCAGTTGTTCTTCTTGCTAGATGTAGGAGTTGCCCATTACATAACCAASACTCCTTCGCCAGCAAAGTCTCTGCTCCCGCCTTGCCACCAGGMCGGGGTCCATCCATACTCAGCCTCACAGGTTGGACTGTGCTGAGGCAGGCCCCAGGAAGCCAGCTCCCTTCAGGAAACCACCTATTACCTGTACAGTCACCAACAACCAAGCAACAACCACTCCTCCCTACATAGGAAGATCTTTGTCTCTTATAAGGTTATTTGGTACCACTGGATAGCTGGGGGTGAGGGGGTGTTAGGGAATTGTTTGTTTTTTTAACTGATTGACCAAGATTCAGAGTACTTTAGGGTAAGAAAGGCTTTTTATCATGCAACAGGGTAGAAATTTCTTTCAGTAACTTCCTCTTCTGACGCAGAGATAGAGAAAGCAGTGGAGGCAGAATCATGAATGAGAGACCACATGGGAGGCTCGTGCATTTTTGCAAGGCCTCCCTCAGTACAGGGGTGTGGGCACAGCAAACACGGGAAATATGGCTGGAGAGGACTCCCATGAATATCTGAGGAGTTTGTTCAAGGAGAAATGACACGTCTGGGATGGGTGATCGCGACTTGGGTCAGCTTGGACCAACTTGGGACACTGAAGGAGGATCAGTGGATGGTGCAGAAGAGCTGAAGAAGAGGAACCTGACAGGCTTCTCTCAAGTGCCTCATTGAAAAATGTTGACTGGAAAACATACATAGGTGCCTAAGGTGAAAATTACGAACTCTTCATCCCACTTCTGTGAGCTTAGGTCCAAGAGTTCCTGCTTGCTGTCTCTCTAACTTGCCTGGTKGAAATGACGTCTGTGGGGCAGCCCTGAAAAGCACCTGGACCAAATAACAACTGCATCCAAGCATTTGGTTTCCAGARACTGGGGACCAGGTGATCAGCTTCAGATAAAGGGGGTTTGGTTCCTGGATAGAAGCCTGTTCCTATTTGGGCTTGGGGAGCAAGAGTGGCAAGATACGCCAGGTGGTTGTGTACACACCTTACTTTTCCTCTTTTTTTTCTGCACAACTGGTCATCCTCTTGTCTGGCTGTTCCTCAGATAGGTCTGACACAGGCCAGTGCAAGTGAGAAGACATCTGAGACTTTTCTGGGGGTATAAGCTGCAAAGGAGAGATGGAGGCTCTGCAGTGCAGCTCCTTGGACATGCTGAGCGTTTGCTTTCCTGAGCAGGGATTCTTTGCTTGTCCCTTTGACAAAGGATCCTCGATGCAAAAGCTGGGTACCAGCTGTGCTCAGCAACGAGTCTACACAGTCAGCTGAATTCTCGGTGCTTGCTAGTATGCACCAAGAAGGAATAAGTTCTGGCTAAGGTTAGGGGGCTGTTACCAAAATCTAATTCTTATTCCTCTGCTTCCCCTGTGTGTGTGTCTTTATCACGGGATCTTTCTGGGAGGAAAGCGGAAAGCAAGGGTATCATGTAGTCAGTGTTTCCAGCTCCTCCCCCACCCACCCACTCTCATCCAGTGCCTGAATGAAAGGATTCTGAAATGTCATCTCATCTTGAGCCTCTTTTATGCTACTCACGCCACCTTCTACTGTTCAATCCATCTTTTTGCTTAGAGTCCCTGGCTCTGTACTTCCTCTTGGCCTATCTCACTTCCTGAAACACCCTGAAGAGGGTTGCTTATCTTGATGGGGCTTGAAAAGCCCAGGGAGGGGGTGGCGGCAGAAGAAGGCACAGGCCTTGAGTGTGTCCTGTCTCAGGAACTAAGAACAGCAACACTTTCGGATTCAGTACACAATGAACTGTCCTCCGGGTTTCTGGGAGATCAAGGATGTGTGGCCCACAAAGGGGCTTGGAACTGGTCATCCTGTGATGGGTTCTGTCTAAGGAGAGGGTCTCCAAGAGATTGCCCCACCACGTGGGGAAGAGAAGCAGTGAGTGAGTTTTGAGTTTCAGACTTGCTGCCTGTGGACTTCCAGGAAGATGTCTGGCAAGAGCTAGGTTCACTCGCTGCGAATCCTGCTAGAYAGGAAGCCTGCTGGCCCACGGGTCACCTGGGAGGTTCCTCTGGGAGAGGATGATGTCTGACAACAGCACTACCCTGCCATGGGTCACGATTCCTTACATCGCCTTGGAGGTTTTTATCGGACTCTGTGCCATGGTGGGCAATATACTGGTCATCTGGGTGGTCAAGCTGAACCCCAGYCTGAGGACCACCACCTTTTTTTTCATTGTCTCCCTAGCCCTGGCTGACATTGCAGTTGGGGTGCTGGTCATACCTTTGGCCATTGTCATCAGCCTGGACATCCCAATGCACTTCTACAGCTGTCTTTTCATGTCCTGCGTGCTGCTGATCTTCACCCATGCCTCTATCATGTCCTTGCTGGCCATTGCTGTGGACCGATACCTGCGGGTCAAGCTCACTGTCAGGTAACCTGCATGAAGAGGGATGGGATGCTGCAGGGGTCTGGGTTCAAATCTCTGACCTTGCCATCTGACCTTGGGCATGTTATTTAACTTTCTCAATTTCTGTTTCCTCATCTTGGTCAAGGGGCTACAAAGCTCAGATTGCAGGCTTTTCCAGTGAAAATGAATTCARATTAGCCTTTGACGTTGATAGAAGACAACAAATGTCTTCTCACTATATGGTGAGAGTTTGTGGGAGTTCAGCAATGATGAGCTGAGACTCATTATTGAGAAACAGGAATGTTTTCAGAGGAATGCTCTAAGCCCTTCTCCACTGACCCTGGGTGTGTGTTCAGTCCCCAGAGGAGCTAAAAATAAAAAAAAAGTTTGGTGCATCTTTAATAGAAAATGCTGTTGAGTTTTAGAAATGAGAAAAACCTACAGCAAAGGTGTTTTAGGAGAAATTGGAATAATTGGAATAAGAGGAAGACAAACAGAAGGTTGTGTTGCTTTGCAAATTTAGGCTAGTATTTTAACTTTGCTTCCTATTCTCTGCCTGCCACRATGTTGAGAAAGGGGTTCTTAGAATGTATATTTTCTTTTTCTTCTTCTTGGGAGGTACGAGAGCTTTCCCCCTCCAAAAAAAAGTTCTTCTTTGTGCAAAGAACATGTGACTCTGTGAGGAGAACACACTGCTAAGTGGAGAAACTGAATTCCCCACGTGTCCTAATTGCATTGGTCTTGGGAGAGAGCCTGGTGAGGGAGCTTGCAAAGCTTTGGAGGTAAACAAGTCTGGGTTCAAATCTCTGACCTTGCAATCTGACCTTGGGCATGTTATTTAACTTTCTCAATTTCCGTTTCCTCGTCTGTATCATAAGATGATGCTCTGATTAAGATGCGCTGAGCCAGACTCATCTCCTTTCAATTGCAARTCCACCATTTCCAGCTTGCTTATGTCACTTGTCTGTGATTCCTTTTATTTTTTTTTCACCTATAAAATGGGAATAATAATTGCACCTTCCTCATCAGATTCAATGTGGTAACCCATGCGAAGTCCTTAGAAAATTCCTGTTCCATAGACTGTGCTCAATAAATGGTAGCTACAATTACTATTCTTTTCACCATTGCCATCCATGAAATGGAGATTATCATAAACACATCTCCAGTTGGTTGTGAGTGTTAATTGAAGTAAAGTCTACTGAGTAGATAGCACTTAACAATATTAGTGTCCCTCWTGCAGTCTGTGTAGATTGCTGCCAAGAGGGACATTTCAAGGGGGAAATGGGGACTCCCTGGATGAGTCTGGTAAGGGCTCTAAAGCACTTCAACATGACCATGGTGACTATTCTGYGTCTGCCACGATGTTGAGAAAGGGGTTCCTAGAAGTATATTTTCTTTTTATTCTTTTTGGGAGGTACGAGAGCTTCCCCCCCCCAAAAAAAAAAAGTTCTCCTTTGTGCAAAGAACATGTGACTACGTGAGGAGAATAGACTGCTAAGTGGAGACATTGAATTCCCCACGTGTCCTAAATGCCTTGGTCTGTGATTCTTCTCTCTTCTCTTGGGGAGAGAGCCTGGTACGGATGTCTCTGCATATGGACATACAGGGGCAGATTCAAGGAGAGGGAAGGGAGGGAGAGGCATAGTGTAATTTATGAGCCTCTGCACAATAGCCAGGTAGGTGATCCCTGGAGACTTCGATACATCTTACACGCTAGGCATTGAAGAATTCCTGAGCTGCAAATGGAGCCGTGACTGGAGTGTGCAGACACCAGACTCTAGACAGCATATCCCTGACCCATTCTAAACTGTTGTTCATTAGAGAAGTCCCGCTGAATTGTTCTCTAATCAGCGTCTGCTYGTCTTGTCTTAGAATCACCATAGACTGACTATCAGAGCTCTCCTCTTTTAACAGAAGATTGGGGAATCGAGAGGGTGTGCGCTGGGTTCCCCCCACCTCACCTCCTCCACTGTCTCCATAATTTCTGCTGTGAATTCACTGGTTCTTTTCCATTYGAACAGATACAGGAGGGTCACCACTCAAAGAAGAATATGGCTGGCTCTGGGTCTTTGCTGGCTGGTGTCCTTCCTGGTGGGATTGACCCCCATGCTTGGCTGGAATGGGAAGCAAACCTCAAGGTACCCCCAGAATGACACCTTGCTTCCGTGCTGTTTCCGTTCTGTCATGAGCATGGAGTACATGGTCTTCTTCAGCTTCTTCACCTGGATCTTCATCCCTCTGATCATCATGTGCACCATCTATATGGACATCTTCTACATCATCCGGAACAAACTCAATCAGAGCTTTTCTGGCTCCAAAGAGACAAGTTTGTATTATGGCCGGGAGTTCAAGACAGCCAGGTCCCTGTTTCTGGTTCTCTTCTGGTTCGCTCTGTGCTGGCTGCCTTTGTCCTTCATCAACTGTATTTTGTACTTTAACATTGAGGTGCCAGAGTATGTGATGCTCCTGAGCATCCTGCTGTCTCACGCGAACTCCATGATGAACCCTATCATCTATGCTTGCAAAATCAGGAAGTTCAAGGAAACCTACCTTTTGATCCTCAAAACCTGTAGAGTCTGCCAGTCCTCTGATCCCACCAACCCAGGCACTGAGCAGATTTCTGGGTAGTTGTCCAGGAAAGATGCCTCTGTCTCATGGACCTTGGGATTCAGCATCAACACTGTGGGCCTGTGCTTCTAACCAGGCACCCTTGATCCCTTCACTAGGTCGGGAGCCCAGTGAAGGCAAGTTACCTGCCATGAGACCTTCACTACTACCCTCTTCCTCCACTCCATTATTTTTCCCTTGTTCTTCTCTAATTCAATTTCCTGGAGGCCCGACTTGAGGGATCGTGTGTTAATGACTGTGTTCCTCCTTCCCAAACAGAAGGAGTCGTGGAACTGGAAGGGTGTCTGCTTGACTTACTGACAGGAGGTTCTAACTGGGATGGACACCTATGTGATGCTGTCTGAGTTCTAGAAGAGAACCTGCTCTCAAAAGATTCCCAGGAGAGGGTGGGAACAGGAGGAGTGAATTGAGCTGAAGGGGGGTCATACACTGCTGAATTCACCTGGAGATGTATTTGTGTAAATAAAAGATGATCGCTAACTGTTGTATGGCTCTTTGCTGGTCAGTTGGGGCTTGAAGACCCAGCCGGCTGCTTGGGCCATTCAGCCTGCTGGTTATGGTTACCTGGAGCTAGATGTCATGCTCACCTTCTTACCAGTTTCCCCAGGACACCCTGCTCCTGATTCCTGGGCTGATCAGAGCACTTGCCAACTTTATAAACTATTCACCTGTTGTTCGAGAAAGAGCCCTGATCATTTCCCCTAGCGTTTTATTCTCAGAGGCGTAGTGGGTGTAGGGCAAAAAGAGGCAACCAGCAGTTTATTCATTGAATACTTTCTCTGCATCAAGCATTCTGTGTGCACAGTCTCCTTTGGTCTCAACAATCTGTGAGGTAGGTACTGCAACTATTTTTTTTATCTCCCTTTCACAGAAAAAACAGACTGATGCAACAGAGAAGTTAAGTAACTTGCCTGTGATTCACACGATTAACAAGTAGTGGATTTAAGCTCAGACCTGCCCTAGGGGAAAAATCCAAGCTTCCTGCCATCTATTCTCAGACACGAAGGAAGCGCTGATAACTTCAAATCCAAACTCTCAAGCTCACCTTATGTACAATTAACAGATGGATGGGTTCAAGCTACAGTGTGTGTGTGTGTGTGTGTGTGTGTGTGTGTGTGTATGACAATTGGTGGAGGTTTTGCCTTAGCTACTTTTGCTGATCTTTAATTAATCAGGATATTGACAGGACAGATGTCACTCATTGTTGTTCCCACATTGAGTGTGGCTCCAGGCATTTAAGGAACCTCCAGGCATCTCTGGTTTGGCCTCCAAATCTGCAGCGGTGTGTGGACGCTCACTCCAAGTGTATTAACTTGACAAGTGCAGCGGGATGAAGGTTCCAATTAAACCAAGAGCATAGGGTATCTTAGCCATTCCTGGAAATATTTCCTAAACCTAATCTTGGGCCAGAGCCTGGTAACCAAATTTATCTTGTTAACATTGCCATTTTAGCAAAGGGTCCTTAATTCTCTTTCTTATTTCTTCCAGAAAAGGCCAGGAAGTATCAAGTTTGAACTTTACCCCTTTCTTAATTTTTGGTTTTAGTTAATGAACATCCCCAGATAGAGGTCCTGAGTTTATAAACTCTACCCTGTTGGAGAATGAAGGGGAAGTGCTGTGGAGCTCTGTTTCCTGGTAATCTTCACACTATGACTCTTAATTGACTCTCTAACCCAGTTGCTATAGCAACATATAGCCCCTGCCCGCCCTTTATTTTTTGGAAACTTGATTTAAAGTCACTACTTCCCTCAACTCAGAGCACCTAACTGTCCTGGTTGTTTGATATCATTGGACGAGCCATAGTTCCTGGGTTTCAGAACTGCTTTTTTTGTTGTTGTTTTTAATACCTTTATTTATTTTTTATGTGGTGCTGAGAATCGAACCCAGGGCCTCACAGATGCGAGGCAAGCCTCTGCCACTGAGCCCCAGCCCCAGCCCCAGCCCTCAAAACTGCTTTTATTTTTTTCTCTCCCTTCCCCTTTTCTACCCTGCTTTTCTCCCCCGAAYCCCTGATTGCCACAACAGCTTGCATTTTTTTTGCCAAATAGGAATCTCTTGAAATAAGGTGTTGCACTAGCCCAGAGGAAGCCCTTAGAGAGAAAATATCCTTTTTAGAGTAAACTCAAAAAGATGAACCAAAAATCATCGGTGAGGAGGTTGGTTAGACATAGGGAGAGCCACCCTGGCTCTCATGGGAGTCTCCTGTGGGTCCTTGTGCAGCCAGATAGTAAAGGGTAGCTGTGGGCTTCTATTCTAAGAGAGTCGGTTAAAGGACCACCCAGATAAAACTGAGATTTGCTTCCATCTTCTCCATGGGAAGCATCTAGAACGAAGGTGAACGTTGAGTAACTGGGTTTGCTTACCTTTTAAAATTATTATGTTATTGAGTCGAGGGWGAAAATAAACAAAGACCCGCTTAGTGAGAAGAAGCAAAGTCTGTGTATTCTGAGCTTGCTGTAGCAAAGAAGCTGACCACCATCGCTAGCCTTTGGAAAATGCTCACAGGCAGGCAGAGGAATGGGAAGGCCAAAGGATAAAGATAAACACTAAAATTTTAATGAGCTTATCTGAGCATTCAACAATTCATGAACTGGGCAGCACTAGTCAGCAAGTAGTTGAGGACGACCCTGAGAGGGGTCGGGGTGGGGGGACTTTTAGAARGCATTTGCGGAAGCAAGACAAATATATTTGTACATTATTTGTATAACTGATCAAGTGAATTTTGATTTGATGTATTTATCGAAGTCCCACATTAGAGGCCAGTTGGGTGGTTTCTGATTAAAATTAAGTGCTGTTTTACGGTTTTACACTGAGTTGGTTTCAACTTGACTATGGAGAAACTCGAGAAAGCCACTGAAGTCCAGGTAACTTTTTTTAACAGAGGAAAAAAGGAAAGACTTGAACTRTGTCCTGATTGGAAGGTGTTAGGATGGGGAACTTGTAGGCTAACTGAAGTGGGGGCATTTTGTATGATTGGTTGAGGGTGCACATCTGGTTGGTCCTAAGTTGGAAGCTGGGACAAAAATTGGGGAATGGCTGGGCGMAGTGGGGCATGCCTGTAGTCTCAGCAGCTCGGGAGGCAAAGGCAGGAGGATTGTGAGTTCAAAGCCAGCCTCGGCAACTTAGTGAGGCCCTCAGCAAGCTGGTGAGACCCTGTCTCTAAATAAAATACAAAAAAGGCTGGGGATGTGGCTCAGTGGTTAAGTGCCCCTAGATTCAATCCCTAGTTCAAAAAAAAAAATGGGATGACATCACTTATTAATTAACCCCTAGCAATTTGGGGGGATTGTTATAGGGTTTATTTTTGGCTTCCTAAATTGTCACTAGAGATAATAATCTGATTTCCTTTAAGCCTAATTTAGCACAGGCTGGTTTATTGTGTATTATAGATAAGCTGTTGGCTTCTTGAGCGGGTTGCTGGAGGTTATGAGTCAGATTTCTGTTTTTATATGGTCTCGCCATTGCCTGTATTCAGTTTCTTACAACTAAGTGCACATTTTCTACAGAAACTCTGCCTTTAGATACTCGAGCTGAGTGGAAGGAATAAGAAAGTTTGGGCCACATCTTGCCCCAGTCACTCAGATGACACAGTACGTAAAGTCTTTTAGTAAACTCTAAAGTGCTCCACAACTTTATGTATTGCTGCAATTGGGGAAGCAAGTATACTATAATGAAAAGAGGAATTTTTCTTTTTACTTGTTCCCCTTCCCCTCCCCAGATGTAGCATCAGATCCCAGTGGCTTTACTGGGTRTGTGAACTTGGGCCGGCTCCTTAAATTTCTGAACCTCCGTTTTCCTCATTTGACACTCAAGTCAAGCTGTTTTCGTTTTTTACTTTTTAATATACAAACTTGAGTAACTACAATAATGAGTCTCAAATATCCGTTATCCTGCTTTAAAAATGATCAATTTATGGTCAACCTTGTCTCACTTGTGGCCACACCCACTTGCCTTACTCTATTGTCCTGACATGAAATGATTTCATCTGTAAACATTTTGGTTTTTGTATTTATTAAAGATGTTTTGAAGTTCTCACTCAGCGTGTTCTTAGTTCCCATTTGCCTTCTTATTGACACCTCTAAATAGAATAGAAATGAGTTCTACCCTGCAGGTAGAGCAGTGGAACTCACAACAACAAGCTATACTCAGCAGGCTAGGACACACATCGGTCATTCTCTGTAACTCYAGCCCTTTCATTTGCTTTACGTGTGACATTTTCACATCTTGGGCATTTTGCTGTTACCTATYTGCGCATAATCTGTTTCTCTTTCTGCCAGCATTTTCTTTGGTTTCATAGTACCATTTCTGAGCAATATTGAGCAATAGAGCCTTGACAGAGGAAAGAATTGCTTTTAAAAAATAGGATTATGTGGGGCTGGGGATATAGCTCAGTTGGTAGAGTGCTTGCTTTGCATGCACAAGGCCGTGGGTTCAATCCCCAGCACCACACACACACACACACACACACACACACACACACACACAAATAGGACTACAATATCTCTGCTAATTATTCACTGTAGCATGAGGGATTATCCCCAAATTTAAAGATTTATGACAATTATATCTTGTGCTGTCCTGTCCATGAGTCAGGAATTCAAGGGATATTTTGGTTGGATGGTTCATGCTCCTGGTCTCTCATGAGGTTACCAGGTCCACAGTCATCTGAAGGCTTGATTGTGGCTGAAGGGTCTGTTTACAAGGTGGCTCTCACATGCCTGGCAGATTGGCCTTTTTCCTCCTGAGCTTCTCTATAGCCTGTCTGRTCCTCAGAACACGGTGGTTGACTTCCCCAGGAGAGGTCAGCATAAGAGACTAAGGTAGAAGTTGCAAACCTCTTATGATCTAGCATCTAAAGCGTACACCCTAATGTCTGCCATGTTTTGTGCTCACACAGACCAGCCTGAATGATCAATTTCAGAGTGACCCTACATGGGCATGTACACCGGGAGCCATCTTGAAGGCTGGCTATTATAATACCATGATCACATCTGAAACAAAATTAATAATTATTTCTTAATATTTCTTATCCGTATCAGCTACCTAATGTCCTGAATTATTTTCAAACAGGATGCCAATAAGTATTTGTCCCTATGTCTCTTGAATCCAGTTTAATCTATGGGTTCTCTTTCTCTTCCTTCCACCCCCCAACCTCCCATGCAATTTGTTTGTCAAACTCATAGAGGTTTTTGTAGGAGTAAATGAGTTAATGTAGGCAAAACACCGACCACGATACAAGCTTACTGCTGGCCCAGATGCTGAGTTCCTGTGTGTTAGAGGAAGGCTCTCCTTTCTTGAGGGAAGACATTATTGCATGATCTAGAAAACCATCCACATCCGGCCCTTGGTGGGAGTGCTAGCTCTGGAGTGTGATAAGTAGCAACCAGCTTCAAGAAATTAAAGGTGGCTCAAGGAGTCAAACTTAAAATGAGTGGCCAGAGGATGAGTCCCCATTAGGAATCAGAGGAAGCTGCTGCCGTTGCTGCTGCTTCATGGACAGACCTCCCTGATTTGTCCCGGCTCCATCTCGGAAAGCTCTCAAGAATTCTGGAGACTGCTGCCCTGGCTGCTGACTCCAAAATACTCACCCCTCTGCCTGCTCCCGTGTTGCAGCTTCAGACACTACTGCTCCTGAGAGCTGGCATGCTCCACTCCTAACCACATTCCCCAGGTGAGCCGGCAGCATTCCCCTGGGAGTTAGGCTAGTTAGGAATTTTGCTGGGATCCACCCCCCACCCCCAATCTGGATAGTCATTTGGTCTCAGGAGTGGTGAAGGGGCAAAAGCAGTGGCCTCTGATMATACCCAGAGCATTAGCAAGACAGGGTGTGGTTGCACACCTAATGTGACGTGTGTGTCTGTGTTCTTCTAAGTGTTCTTCAAAGTGCCATGTGCCAGAGTGGGTTTATCCAGGAGGGGTGTCTCCATGGCTATTCTTGGCTCTGCTGGAAAGCCCAGAATATTCTTAGTTGCCCCCATAAATAATAAGTTTGTGYTGGTAAATGTCATCCCTCTGATGAGGTGCCATGGTTCAGTGGACAGTTGGGCTAGCTGTACACACCAGGACTGCTTGCAATAACCTGTGGTTCCCACTTTTCACTGATCTCTCCAAAGAGGGATAAAACTCTTAAGGCCAAACACACCTGTTTTTCCTTGAACAGATCCAGAAATTCCTGAGGTCCCTGGGTTCTTCCTGTGGTTCCAGTCGAAGGTCCAGTCATGGGGCTCTTCATCCTGCTCTCCTGGGCTCTTCTTTCAGGTAAGAGGAGAGGAAGGAGCACCTCTGCCCTCCAGGCTGCTGTGACCTTCCTGGAGACCTTGCATTTTCTTCTCTCTTCCTGTTTGGAGTCCCTACTTATCAGCTCGAGCCACCTAAATGAGTGGGGAAATAAAAGGTGAAAACAGGTCTTGTCTCTATTAATTCTCGAACGTTCCTCTGATGGGAGGATTGTGGGAGCTTGGAACCCTTGGTTAAAATGAGGGCTCTGTTTTTTCTCTGTTAGTTGACCCAAATTCCCCTTCCCTTCCTTTTTTTTTCCCTCAAAAAGTATCTGTGCAGATATGTGTCCACATTACTTTTTCCTTCTGCCTATGCCTGACACCAAAGATGGGACTCACTCAGAGCATGGGGTGTGCCCTGCTGTGTCACCCCTCAGCAGTGTCACCTTTGGAGTTGCTGCATTGGTCTCTGGGTCAATGTCAGTGTGACAACCCCCCACACACACACACACACACTCCCACCCAGAGGATCATGTGATCTTCCCTGTGGGTTTTTTTTAGGAGAACAAATGACATCTAGGATGTGAGCATGCTTTGCAGGTTGGTGACACCCCAAGCCTAGCACACAGTCGATGGAGGGCTGAGAGGGATGAGCTCTGCCGTGCCGTCTCTTTTCTTTGCTGGACCTGTTGTGCATGAGTTCCTCAGTAGGCAATATCCTGACGTGATAGAGGTGCCCATGGCCAGTCTTGCATGGAGGAGATGGTAAACTTCTGGCTCAGAACCTGAGCCCCTCTGTCTTCTGCCCCATGCAGCCAGCAGAAGCCTCCACAATTTTCACTTTCTATCTGAGGCTGCCAAGGTAGGGTGGGTAGCCAGGGACAGACKGTGTGCTGACAGTGAACCTCCGGCTCTTCCAGGCTCCCCACCAGACAATGGCAAGAGGCCTCTGGTGCACTGTCCCTTAGACCAGGAATAGAGACTTCTCTGGGGTTGCCATGTTGGTTTCCTAGGGAGGCCATAACAGAATACCATAACAGCTTAAACAACAGAAATGTATTTCCTCACAGGTATGGAGGGTAGAAAGAAGTCCAAGACCAAGGTGCCTGCAGATGTGGTTTCATTCTGATGCCTTTCTCCTTGGCTCATTGTAGGCTATCCTCTTGCTGTGACCCCAGATGGTCATCCCTCTTTCCATATCTTAATCTCTTATTCACTTAATAAGGATGCTGACCATATTGGATTAAGGACAATCTCCTGTGATCYTACTTTAACTTGATTACCTCTTTTAAAGACCTCTGTCCAAAGATATTCTATAACCAATTTTAGCAGGACACAGCTCAGCCCATAACAGCTGTCTACCGATAACAGGCAATAAAAACCAGCCTCCAATTCTTTAATTATCTTTCAGGTGGACAGGCGGGGAGAAACTGCAGCATGCTTGAAAGAATAACAGTGTGTGTGTGTGTGTGTGTGTGTGTGTGTGTGTGTGTGTGTGTGTCTTCACAGATGCCATGGTCATGGACAGAAAAGTGAAGGAAAGCTTCGTGCTAGGCACAGCTTCTGCCAGCTGCAATTACGACGCCCACTATAAGCATCATACCAAATATTGGTGCCGAGGCTATTTCCGGGATTACTGCCACATCATTGCTTTGACCCCCAACAGCACGGACCGTGTGGCCCTGAAGGACACAGGAAGCCAATTCATCATCACTGTGTCCTGCCTGACCAAGGAAGACACGGGCTGGTACTGGTGTGGTATCCAGCGAGACTTTGCCAGGGATGACATGGATTTTACAGAGCTGATTGTGACTGACAGCAGAGGAGGCCAGGCCAACGAGTTTTGGTCTGGAAAAGGTAGAGGCTGTCAGGGGTTTTACTTGGGTAACCCAGGGGGCTGTGCATTTGTCGGTATGGTAAAAACTCAGAAGATGGGAGTACCAACCCAGGCTCTCCCCTGGTTCTCTGGGGGTGACATGGTCTCTCCCTCCAAGGTATGGTAGTCATGCWTGGTGCGGGGATTAATTGGGAGTCTGGGGAAAGCGAGTCTGTTTGGTTCCTGGGGCCACTGTCCACTGTTGGAACATCCCTCTCCTTGTGGCAATCTGGTTGATAGGCCTTGGAAGAGGCTAGTTGGAGGCTAGATTTCACAGGTGTGAGATCTCTGTGTTGATGGTCAGCTTCCTGCCCTGAAGAGTCACACAGGGTGCAAAATGTGACCCAGATGCCTGGGGAATTGTCAACTTAAATAATTTTAATAATCTGCATGGATAAATATCGTGGTCAAACTGGTCAGTATTTGCTTTTACTTATAAGGAATGCAGTCTCTGCTTAGAGGTCACGGGGAGAGTGTGGCGGGGGCTGGAACATACAGGGCCAAGTCCAATGGAGCCAGTCCATTGCAGCTTTTGGCCAGAGCTAAGACACGGGGCTCAGCAGATGCTCACTCATAAACTCCTGCTGAATGCTAGAAACCTCTTTTTGCACCTGAAGGCCTTTGTCTTTCGGGAGGGGGCTTCTTATTGTTTTCAGTTCTAGAAGTAAAGACTTTATCACAATCTGGAGCACAAGGACAGTAGGAAAACAGACCAGAGGACTTAAGGGATCCCCACCCTACCCCTCCCTGGGCTGGAAAGAGATCCTTGTTTACACTTGACCTACTGGTGCTTGACAGTGTCATTCACTGCCACTGTCTTCCTGCTTTGTGTGCTTCTGCTTTTATTTCACTGTAGAGCATGTCCTGAGTTTGAAGCTCAGGATGAGAGAAGTCCATATAAATGTGTTCCTCAGTGTAGATAAACACGCCCCTTCCAGATCTTTTCAGAGGAGACAATGTGGGTGACTGTGGTGGAACTTCTCCCACTGAGTTCTTTGTGGTTGTCAGAAGCATGTGACAGTTACATCACCTACCGATCTGTTCCTTAAGCCGGGGATTGGCCTTCTGGTTGTTCCCACCTATGGGAGTGGCCCTCAGCCTGGGTCTGTTACCACGGGCCATCTGTAGTCCACGTGGGGCCTTCATACAAACCTGGAAAAGGTGCTCAAGAGCATGGGGTCCAGTGACCGTGGCCTGGATTCCACTCCCGACCTGTCCCCTCAGTCTTGTTCCCTGTGCAGGGCACATTTATACAACAGTGCTTGGTGCCTATGCTTTGCTGGAAGTCAATAGGTGCTTGCTCTCTGGAGATTGTGAATGGCAGGTAGAGCTGCCGCTGGAAGGCCCCGAGGACCTGGGTATGGGCCTCACTTACTCAGTCATCCTTTCTGATTCAGACTCACCAGGCAACAAGAACAGAAGCTGCAGGGCTTCCAGAATCATCCACAAGGCCGACCGCTCCAGGTGAGTCTTAGAAGACAGATGGGCTTGGGAAGGGAGTGGAAGGAAGGGACCCAACAACATAATACCGTGATTGGTTGGTTTGCACTTACTACTTTCCAGGTGCATATTGCTTTCCACCTGAACTACCTATCCTCAATAGGACTATTTGATTTCTTAAAAAAAGAATATATTAATTACAAAAAAAACAGAGCTCTTGCCTAACATGCACAAGGTCATAGGTTCAATCTCTAGTACCTCAAAAGAAAAAAAAATATATAAATAGTTTAGGACTCTTGTTTGGAAGCAGCAAAAATTGCCTTTAGCTACTTTAATTTAACCCGGAGGTGGGGGGGGGCATTTATTTTAAGGACTGAGCAGTGTCTCAAATGCTGGGGCTGGGATGAGGCCACCTCTGAAATTGCCAGGAGGATCTGCAGACTTCATCTCCCCTTGTAATCAGCTACTCCTGTATGTTTTTGCTTCTTTCTCTCTCTGTACTGATCTTTGATATTTCCTTTATTGCCCCCTCCTCCTCCTTGTGCCACACAATAAGGCATCTTGATCTATCCCTCTCCGTTCACGAGTCTGGCCAGTTTGAGACTTCATCTTCCTATTCCCAGCTCCCAGTTGATTTCTGAGGAAGGGGCTCACTGGCCCAGCCTGATCAGATGTCCACTAGGTCTATGCATGTGTGGTCCACGGGACAGGGYCACTCTATAAAGTTCCCAGGAGCTGGGTTGGGAGTGGCGGTTGCAGATCTCAGAAAAGGGCGAAACGGAGTAGAAAACCAAATGGTGGTTCCTTCCAAGGGAAGTGAAATTGGCTCTAATTCCTTCCAGGATGTCCATCCTTATCATTTGCGTACTGCTTACCAGTTTGGGGATCATCTTTATAATCAGTCATTTGTCCAAGAGAAGGAGAAGTCAAAGGAATAGAAGGGGTAAGTAGCCTTTGGCAGTGGGGATAAGGAAGACAGGAATTAAAGCCCATGAAAGAGGTCAAGGAACAGTTTTCAACGAATCAATGTGGCTCCCCTCTTATTGCCTGTGCACCTAGAGACCAAGGTGGCCAGTCCATGGGCTGGGGGAAATATCTGTGTCACGGTGACAAAGATATCAAGAGAGGAGGCAGAGGAGCACCGTGGCCTTCTTAGCTGGAGGTGTGTGTAGACAGGGTGGAGGGAAGCCCTGAGACCACCACAGCGTGCCCTTCTTATCTGGAGGGTCACCTGCTTCCCGAGCACACCAGCTCTTGGTGGCAGCCTTACTCCTTGATTGAAACATTTTGTTTAGGAATTTCTGGAGCCAAGGCTCCTCCTGTCAAAGGAAGGAGCTTCTGAGACCCGGGGTGGGCGGGCACAGAGAGGTGTCCTTGAGAAGGGGTGGGGGGAAGAGGACAGTCTCTGGGGTCTTAACCCTAGTCTTGAGGCAAGGAAGTTGCCCTTTAGCTTTGTGTCTCCTGCTCTCTTGGGTGGCTACAGGTAAAGGCCTTGGGAGTGGCCCCCAGAACAGCCAAGCTTCTCCTGTGAATCCCACGTCCTTGGTAAGTTCCATTCTTGATTCTTCTGCTCTGGGTGCTGTGCCCCACAGCGACCTGGTCTTCAGGTCTCCCCGCTTCCTGAATAGAGAAGAGACGGCGTGATTTGTTCATCTTTCCCTTGGGGGAAGCCTCAGAAACACCAGTGCTGGTCTTCACTGTCTGGAAGATCCTCTAGCCACCATGGGGTGATTCTGCTAAGCTCTGAAGTGCACACCAAGCAAAAAATAACAGATGCAAGTGCCTCTGGCTTTTTAATTTTTTTTTCTTTTTTCTTTTTATGCTCAGACACATGCTAGGCAATGAAGACTGTGGACATAATTATAAAATAAACCCCAACCTCCTCTGGGTACGAGTGTAAAAGGAACATTTCAAGGAAAGAGGGGAAAAAACAAAACATAACACGAGACACAGGGTGACACACGAGTCTGCAGCCTGGAGAAGCTGAAATCTCAAGCCAAGGCTGTAAGGACTTGTGCTCTCCCTGGGGTTTTCTGACCTGTGACCAGAGCAGGAGGCCTGAGAAAGCAACGTGGTAGCTCCCAAGGTGTTTCTGGCTGTTAGTCCTCCAGGACTCTGGGATCTGTGGAGGGTGGGGGACATGGGCAAAACAACCAGCGACCACTCCCTCTGTGACACAATCACGATCTATGTTTTTGCAAACCAACTTCTTTGTCACTTCTTTAAGGCATGCCCTTGGGCAGCTCTTTGTTTTTGAACCTGTTTTCTTCTCTGTAAATTGGAACCCCCATTCCCATACTACCTAGGATTTTCCCTTCATTTCTTCATTCATTCATTCATTCAATAAGAACCATGCTGGATGCTGGATATAATGGTGAGCAAAATAAACAGCATCAGCTTACATGGAGTGGTATAAAATGCGAGGGAGACAAACCACCACCGAAACACACAACTATAAAGTTGTCACTTGGAGTAAGGGGAAACACAGGGTACTATGAAAGGTGACAGTGGAAGCCAGCACTATATGTTTAGGAAGGAGTTGAGCAAGCTGTTGCTGTCAAGGTCTGCTTCCTCCCACTAGGGCAATTAAAATGTGGTAACCTGAAGCAAGGGCCCTGCTACTTTGACATTCTTGGGTTCTGAAGAACCCAGTTGCATTCACATCATCTAAGCTTGGGGGAGGCCAACACAAGCCCCAGGGGCCAAGCTTCCACATTGACCCACCAATGAGTTTTTCAGTAATGACATCAGATTTCAGCCCTGCAAACCAACTTTGGTCTTAGTCCCCAGGAAGCYCCCATGAGAGAGTTTGCAATTTTTGCTGCAGAAGCATTCAGGTAGGCAATAGATCTCAACTGAATTTTCCTTTTTCTATTCCCCCAACAAAGTAGGCAACTCTTGGAAGCTCCTCCTATTTGTCCTGACTCCACAGGAAATGGCTCATACTGAACAGATGTGACTGAAGATTTCTTTTATTTAGTTCATAAATAAAGTGATRATGCTACAATAGTATCACCATGACAACTGGCCCACATCTCGGGGACTGATTCTGATCTCTCAGGCTTTCTGAAGGACTTTCTCAACTCGCCAGCAAATCATTTGTAACAACGGTGACAGTCAGAAGAGCTGCCATAGATCACACTGAGCAGGGCTACAGTCAACATCTCCAGACGTTAGTTCTCCTGCATCTGGGTCAGGGGGTCAGAAAGTCATTTTTATTTGTTATCCAATAAATTTCTGATCCATGTTTAATGAACTCCAGGGTATGACTAACTCCTCCTAGGGTATCACTGGAAAAAGTATTTCTTGAAAATTTCCTTAAAATGTTTAATATTCCAGCTGGGCACTGTGGCATATGCCTATAATCCCAGTGACTTGGGAAGTGAAGGCAGGTGGATTCCAAATTCAAAGCCAGCCTTAGCAACTTAGCAAGGTGCTAAGCCATGTAGGGAGATCCTGTCTCAAAATAAAAAAAAAAAATGAAAATAAAAAGCGCTGGGGATGTGTCTCAGTGGTTAAACACCCCTGGGTTCAATCCCTGATAAATATATATTTCTGAATTGGTATTAAATGCTGTCCTGCCCCACCAAGGGGAGATAGATTAAATCAGTGGATCTCAGATTCTCTTGATGAAAAGAYTGTTGGCCATTAATCATAACCTTTACTGGAAACTGCTATCAGAGTGAAGGGATGCTGCTTCTGATCAATGAGGAACCAAGAGGCGGTAAGTGACATATCCATTCAAATCAGAAAACATGAATCAAGATCATGGCATTAGCAGCCATGGGAACATGAGAGGTGATATTGTCATTAGGGCCAGACTCTCCAATACTTGGAGCTCTCATCTGCGTATCTGCACTTCCYTTCCCGGTACAGTGCCTCTCCTGCTATTTCCGGGAGTTCATAGGGCTCCCCATGCCTGCCTCAGTGGTCCTCATCAGAACCCCTCTCTTCAAAATTCCATAGTTCCTTCTAGATACTCAGGCAGCCCTGATGTGAGCAGGGTTAGGACAGGGAGATTGGCTGTTGATAGGACTCTGCATGTGCCCTGTGTGATTAGACCCAGACTCTTGAACAAAAGTCTTTCATGAGCACAGTCTGTCAGTCTGCACCCTGACTCCTCTCTCCATAGRCAGGAAGTCAAAACCCCTCAGCAGTCTAGGAAGGGATGAGGGTGTGAATACTAAGCCTGAATGATTCCATACAGCCTCCCTCCCTGCCGGTCTCAAATAACATCAAAAGGGCTCCCTTTCCCCTGCACCAAAACAGAGCTCCAGTCCCCCTCTGTGGCCATATGTGGAATTTGCAACAAGGGCCACTAGCCCTCTGGTTCTGCAAATGGCAATCCAGTTCAGGCTCAGGACATCCCGTTGTACAAGGTGAGAGGCAGACATTGATCTCCCACCGCAGGTCAAGACATCAGATGTCCTGAAAGATTTACACTCACACTGTCTGGAGCATGGTTTTCTCTGAGAAGCTTACAGGTTTGTTCTGATTCCATGATCCAGGATCCAAGAGCTTTTCTCCTTCCCTTACCTAGCAAAGATCTTTTGAATCCGTGGTCAGTTATTATTTATTTAATCCTCCAGCAGCTCTGACCATGCACCAGTTCTCATGGTGGAGAGACAAAAATCCAATACAGGACACATTGTTAAAAATGGGAAGCTTCAAGAAAAAGAGGGAAGAATGATCCATTTGGTACAGCACATATAATTGATGGCCACAGGACACTGTATACCTTTGATCTTGCAGCTCCGAATGGGAAAGCCAACATGACTTCTAGCTGTGGGGCTGGCAGACGGGTTTCATATCAGTCTCTTCCCTGAGCTTCCTGCAGTCAGCCAAAGGGAGATGACAATTCCCGGGGCTCTGCTGCCCTCATGGGGCTGGCTGCTCTGTTCCTGCTGTGGCCTCTTCAAGGGATTATTTGCCTAAACCAGTCTTTCTCCTAAACCTGGGTACTCCCACCAAGAGCCTCCGCCTTTATCAAACCCTCTTTTACTGGTTTTCCCCTCAAATCCAGCTACCAAAAGCTGCTGCTCTATCTTGGAAAGAATGGCTCTCCAATGCTCTATCACGCCACCTGACTTTGCCTTTCTGGGTCCGCTGCCACTAGTGCTGTGGGGCAGCTATGGCACCGAGGCAAGATTCGAGGAATTTTAGTGCAGAGGACTTGATTTAAATTTTCGTTGTCATTTACTAGCTGTGTGATGTTGAATACATTATTTCATCATCTTGAACCTCAATTTCTTTACCTTGATTTTTTTAAACGTTATGAATATTTTTTTATTTTTTGGTGCTGGGGATGGAACCCAGGGTCTCCATTCATGCTAAGCAAGCAGTGAAACGTGCACCCAAAAAGGGAAGGAAGCTGCTTCTCTCTGGCCCCTGCTTCCTTCCCTGTAGAAAGGCTCCATCCGTGTAATAGCCCTGGTGGACTCCCAGCTRGGACGTCCTGTCTGACGTGAGACTGAGAGTAGGAACTGGGCGTATGCCATCTGCCCTTCCTCTTCCTTTCTAAAAATCTTTTGGGTGTACGTTTCAAAGAGGACGGGATCTCTTCTGGGAGTCCTTAGGGGCAGGCTGAGCCACTGAATTGCTTTTATGGAGCAGGGAAGACCTCCTTTGGTCCAGCTGAGTTGGTTATGGAGCTCAGAATTCTGATGTCCTCTTCTTTGCAGCTACAGTATAAGCTACGTTCTCCCACGTTGGCCATATTCATAATAAAGATGGTATTTTGATTTTTATCTTCTGAGTCCTCTTATTTCTCAGGTGGTTCAGGAGTCAGGTGGGGATGGGAGCATTAGGTGTGGGGCCCCCTGAAGATGCTCAACATGATTGTAAATGAAGAACTCCCAAAATTACAAAAACGGCTTCTAAGGGAAAGCAGGCCCCCTTTCCATCCCTGATCCTCAGTCCCCAAGTACCAAGTCCGGTCACCCCGGCTCATCACTAACTGATTGTATTTTCTTCCAGAGGTATCCTAAATATACAGATACACACTGGCATGTACTCACGACAGGAATAAAGCATATGCAGAGTTCTGTCCAGGAATTTTCATTTTTCATTTAGTAGTATACCTTGCAGATCTTTTATTTATTTATTTATTTATTTTTATTATTATTAGTTGCTCAAGACAATACAATGATCTTGACATATCTTACATTTGATTCAAATAGGGTATGAATTCTCATTTTTCCACGTGTACAGATTGCAGGATCACACTGGTTATACATCCATGTGTATACACACAGCAATCCTAGTGTCAGTTGTATTCTGCTGCCCTCCCTATCCCCGCCTCCCCTCCCCTCCCCTCCCCTCTCATCACTATTCTCTACCCAGATAGACCTTCATTCTCTCTAATGGCTGCACTGGACTTTGTGAACCAGTCCCTTCTCAATGGACATTGTTTCAGTCTTGCTGTTACAGAGTTGAGCATGATGAATAAATGTGCAAAATCTGGCACCAGCCTACCTGGGGCTGACTTCCAGGGCCACTACTTACTAGCAGTATGAACTTGAGCAACTTACTGACCCTCACTGTGCCCCGCTTTTGTATCTAAAATGAGACTGATTATGACCTCATGGGATTCTATGAGGATTCCACGGAGAGGTGCCAAGCACTTAGAAGAGTGCCTGGATTATCAGTTTCAACCAATTTGATTAATGCTGCAATTGAAATTATATAGTGAATTTTCCATGTATTTAAGGAGGGTAAATTCTTAGCAATAGAATTGTTTAGAAATTCTTGGAAACAGAACTTACAATATCAAATTATCTTCGATAATAGTTGAACCGTCTTCGGTCCCCACAATCTTGCCCCCACAGATCTTTAGCAACTTTTTGAATTTTGCTAACCTTATTGATATAAAACATCACACCTAATTGTAGTTCTAATTACTATTGCTTTTATTATGAGTGAACTCGAGTGAGTATCTGTTCGTATGTTTTTAAGAACCATTAGTTTCCGGGCTGGGATGTGGCTCAATTGGTAGCACGCTCGCCTTGCATGCGTGCAGCGCAGGTTCGATCCTCAGCACCACATGAAAGATGCTGTGTCTGCCAAAAACTTAAATAAATAAATAAATAAATATTAAAAAAAAAAAAAGAACCATTAGTTTCCCTTTTGACCAATTCCCATGCTGCAAAATGGTTAAACTTACTTTCAGATTTTTTTTTATATACTAAGAAAACTAGTCCTTCATCTGTGAGATGCTTTGGAAATGTGTTGCAAATGTGTCATTTGTCTTTTTGACTTTCTAATGGTATTTTATAAATCAAATTAATATATTCTGATTTCTGGGGTTTGTGTCATAAGTTTAAAGACATGACCCACTCTGAATTATTTTTACTCTTATATTTATTACAGTACTTTAATGATCTTTTACAGTTTAGTTTCTGACATAAAATAAGAAATGGAATTTATTTTGCCATAAGGAGTGAGATGGTTCATGGTTACTTTTTAAAAATCTGAGTACCATTTACTGAATAAACCAAATTTTCTCAAATCATTTAATAAACCATCTCCCAAATCTAAATGTCCGTTTGTGTTTTAGTTTAGTTCTGGTCTTTTTTATTCTATTCTACTGATTTATTTATTCATACATCATTAGCATAATAATTAATCGTGCTTAACAAAACAGGTACTTTAAGAAACTAGTACAGAAATGTAATTACAGCAGCAATGTTCATAACTAAAATGTGGAAACAATTTGAGTTTCTATCAATTGTTGAATGATCAAACAAAAGGTGGCGTACTATAAAAAGCAACAGTATTCAATATTGGAAAGGAATGAATTACTGAATCATGCTGCAAAATGATTAAACTTAAGTTAAATCAAAGAAGCCAAATATTGTGGGATTCCACTTATGTGAAAAGTTCAGAATAGGCAAACATATAGAGATAGATAGCATATTAGTAATTATTTAGGGGTCTTAGGGTGAGAAGATGAGGATTGACTCCTAAAGTGTGTGGAAATTCTTTTAGGAAGTTAATATTCTAAAATTAGATTTTTGTGATAGTTGTACAATATGGTAAATACATTAAAAACATTGAATTAGTGGATGGATAATTATGAATGTAATGCATTCCATTATTGTCATGTATGTAAGAAATAAATTAAAAAAGAAAAAAAACATTGAATTATACTATGTAAATAGGTGAGGCATGCATAAATAATATAATAAAATGTCTTTAAAAAAGAAATCAAAACAGGTGCTTTAAGTTAGCTGCTAGGGCTAGATTTCCTATATGAATTTATTTATCATTAATTTGTCTTTATGAATTTTGCTGATTTGCTTTCTTATTTAAGTGGGAATTTTAAGGTAAGTGTGCCTAGAATTTTTTTTTAATGGGATTGATATCTTTAATGGGATTGCCTATATGATTATCCATTGTGATTGGAGGGGAATTAATGTTTAGATTAATTTTTATTTTTGGTTCTCATGTAAGATTGTTATGCATATTGCATACGCCATAGGAAGGATATGGAAACCCACATTTGAATAGTGCTTTATAGAATATGGGTTTTGTATTTGTGTAGAACACTGGTCCTGACGTCTGGAGAAGGTGACTGTGATAGACTAATTACTGATGAAGAAGGAGCCAATATTTGGGAGGGTTTTGCCTTTTTTGGAATTCTTGATAGATTGTTCATTGGGTTGACTCCTCCCTAGTTGATCAATGACACTGGGGGATTACGTTCTGAACACTGAGCTCTGTCTCACACCCTTTGGGAGGCTACCGGGGAGGCCCTCAGGGAGCTGTTGGTACAAGTAGGAAGGCCAGCAACCTTTCCTCTGGCCAGGAAAATGACTGACCACTGGTCTTGGAGACTTCTGGATCCCACTGTCAGATCACACCTAAACAACTCTGCAGTTTCACGTGGGCTGCAGTCAAAAAATTGTAGAAGACCAGAAAAGAATATGTTGAGATGAGAGGAACTGGAGTCAAGCCTCACTGGCTTATCACTTTAACCTGAGCGTAGACGACAGGGTCTAAGTCCGCAGAATGGTTTGCAGTCAAGCTGTGGCTCTTCTTTTCCAAGGGTTGGAAAGACATGCTGGCGTAGGTTAGCGGGTCCTCTCCTAGGGATGAACGCTTCAGAGGGATGGAGAGAAGGAATGAGTGGATTCAATTTGGAGCAAAGTGTGTCTCTTTGGAAGCAGCTGCGACTTTGCAAAGAGGGGACCCAAAGAGATCAGAAGGACTCTTAAAAGAATCCCTTGGAGAGTCCAGGAAGCAGTACAACTACCCCAGTCAATAACGTGAAACGCAGAGGGAAAGCCAGAGGGCAGGGCCTCAGTGCCCTGGGAGAAACACAATCATCCTACCTTGGCAGGAGAGTCCGAGTGAGGATCTGGAACCTGGGGACTGTAGTGACCTGCAACAAATACCAGGAAGAAGAGGGACAAGTCTCACCACTGGGGTCTGGAGGAGAGGGGAGCCTCTCCCTTCAATCTTGGGTGAAGGGGAGGGTGGGAGGAGGGGCTGGGAGTGGGGAGGACAGGGAGGAAGAGAAGGGGAAGGAGGGCCGTTCTGATCTGTGTTAATCAGGTTTTATCTCACACACCCTTACTCACTCGGTGGCTATCTCTGTCCTCAGTGACAGACAAGGCTGCCCCATCCCTCAGACATCACTTACATCTTCTGCAGCTCTTAATGATGAGGAAGACCATGGCCGTCAGCAGCAGTGTCAGTAGAACCCCAGCCAAAAAGACCAAGATTAAATCTGCTGTGCTTTTTGGTAGAAAAAGGAAGAGGGTCAACTGCTGAGCTTTTGATGGCCGTTCCTAAAAGCCACAGTGCAGCCTTCCCCACCTGCAGGATAGCCTGGAGCAGACGGCACCTGGCTTAGTGGGCTGCTGCCCTGACCCACTGGTCTTGGCAACTTTCGGCTTTGGCGTACCAGAGGCATCTGAGGCCTCAATGAAAGCTGCCGATTCTCCCCACCCTTCCTGCCTCAACAGGCATTTACAAGCTTAGGAAACAATTCTTTGTCTGTTTCTGCTCCTTTCTCTCCAGACCCTCGGCCACTGTCCCCAAGCCAAAGCTGTCCATACAAAGTCAAATGCCATGTGGTTACAGGATGAAGCAGACGAGTAAATGTTCATTTACTTGGGATGGGTGGAGGGACAGGGTGCAGAGCTCGTGGTCTTTGGGGAGATGGTAGAGGAGATGTCTACGAGAGAACATGAAAGAAGTTAGTGTAGCTGCCATTTGTCAAGTAAATGTCCCCGGTGCCTCTCTTACCCAAGCAACCAGTGGAGATTAGCGACTGGGTGACTCTACGTGGGAGAGGAGACTATGTCATTTAAAGTGAGTATTTAAACAGGAACTTAAAACCATCAGCTATGCAAATAAAAGAAGAGCCCAGTGTCCTGCTGTGCCCTGTGTCCTCTAGAGAAACAAAAATAAAAAATGTGTGCCGTGTCTCCTTCCTCAAAGATTTTCGCCGGAAGCCCTAGGAAAATATCCTCCTTCTGATCTAAGCAAGGGTCTCCAGGCTTGGAGTGAGAACAAGCGGTGAAACCCAGAGCCAGTGCTTCCCCAAGCCCTCAGGACCTTGACCTTAGGAACTGCTGCCCTTTTTGGCTGGTCATTTTGCAGGGCAGCTGATAACAATGTCCTGCCCAAAGCAGCCAGGACAGTTTCCCCCAGTGTCTAGAAAACAAATAGGGGAGGAGGAAGGGAAGTGAGTTAGATTCTCATGAACTGCCCAGGTGATCTATTCAGATTTGGAGGGTTAGCAGTCCTTTCTGGATCCCCTTTTCATTTCTGAGGCACTAGAGTCTGTGTTGTGATAAAAGATGATTTTCCCAACCTGAGAAATGCACTAGCCAGTGGTGTCCCATTATAGCCCCTTTTAGCACAACATCTTAATCTTCTAGTTTGTTTTTACTTTGTAGTGAGGCCCGTAACAGTTCCTGTTCTGAACTCACCATATTGGGGCTTAGGTGTGGAGTTCTTTCCTCCCATGCTGTCTTCACCTGAGAATTAGAAAAAGGAACCTCTTAGTTTAAAAGGGGCCAACCACGGAGGGACCCACTCCAGACGGATGCTAACATAGGACAATAACAAGGAGAGAAAGGTCAACTGTGGCTGCTGAGGTGCCATCACAGGTCAAGACTTTACCTGGTGTGCTTTGTAGGTCCCGAAATGAGAACTTATCACCAAGAATTGACTGATTGCTCCAGAACTGATTCCCATTCACAACTCACGGCAGACTGAGGTACAAATTGACATAAGAATGTGTTGGTGGAATTGGTGTTTACAATCAGAACCTGTATGAGCTCCCATTAAAACCAAAATTTTGCTTGTTAGGCATTGAATTGAAGTAAGCATAAGATGAATGAATGATTTTAATACTGAAGTGTCTTCCAAGTCTGAGGCATCCACCTCACTTTTCCCTGGCAGTGTTGGGTAAACTTTCACAAATTCCTCTTAGAGGCCCTTCTCCGGGGGCCAGCAGACACTTCTGTTCACATATTGTCTTTTCAAGTATGCTGATATCCTTGTCTAGACTTCTACCTGTTATGTTAAGCCTTTTTTACTTGTGTTTTTTTTTAGCCAGAAAATATAAAATATCTAAAGGCAGAAAAGTAAAAGCGTCTAAACCCCTACTGTCATTGTTAATGTTTTAGTAACTTTCCTTTTAGTCTTGCTCCATGCATTCTATTAAAGCTGCATGAGCTACTTCTATAAGATGTTGTATCCTTTTTCATTTTGCTACTGAGGATTGAATCCAGGGGCACTTTACCACTGAGCCACACCCACAACCCTTTTTATTTTTTTATTTTGAGGTAAGGTTGCTGAGGGTGTCACTAAATTGTTGAGGCTGGTCTTGAAATTTTGATCCTCCTGCCTTAGCCTCCCAAGTTGCTGGGATTACAGGCATGCACCACCACACTCCGCAAGAGGTTATGTCCTTTGTTTTCACTCAGCATTTTATCATACACATTCTCTCATACCACTAAAGACTGTAACATTTTTAGTGATGATTGGCATTTCTGTTATACCTGTCCCCCTTTATCTGTGAGGGATTCATTCCAAGATGTTCTAGAGATGCCTGAGACCTTGGGTAGTACCAAACCCTGTACAGTAGATATAATCTTTTCCTGTATACATGTACCTCTGATAAAGTTTTATTTATAAATTAGGCATAGTAAGAGATTAACACCAATATAGAACAATTACAACAATATGCTGTAACAAAAGTTATTTAAAACTTATGATTATTTATTTCTGGAACTTTCATTCCATACTTTCAGACACAGTTAACAGGAAGTAACCAGACATCTGGCAAGTGATAGTATGGGTAAGTATACTGTGTATAACTTGCTTTACCAGCTCCCTACTGGCTGATATAAATTATTTTCAATTTATTTAATTAAAGGACAATGAAACAGAAATTTTTGCACATAAGCCTTTATATGCATCCCTGATTATATTTTAGATGGCCATGATTTTACCTCATATTTAGATAAACATGTGCTAAAACTTTTTGGCTCTACTTTTTCTGCTGAATTTTAATATAATTTATTATGTTATATTATATTATACATAATATAATATATGATATGATATAATATAATGTAATATATTATATTTAGGCAATCAATGTCATCAATTGTTGATGTGTTTTCATTTTTCAGCTCTTAAAAGTTAATTTCCAAGTTCCTGGACCCGGGGAAGGCCAGGAAAATAATACTTCATTGTCATTTACCACCTACAACATCAGCAATAGCATCATTAGCAAGTACCTTACAGTTCACCAACATTTTTAAATAATCCTGCAATGTGTAAGAAAGGCACCTACAGGGGCTGGAGATGTGGCTCAGCGGTAGCGCGCTCGCCTGGCATGCGTGCGGCCCGGGTTCGATCCTCAGCACCACATACCAACAAAGATGTTGTGTCCGCCGAGAACTAAAAAATAAATATTAAAATTCTCTCTCTCTCTCTCTCTCTCTCTCTCTCTCTCTCTCTCTCTCCTCTCTCTCTCTCTCTTTAAAAAAAAAAAAAAAAAGAAAGGCACCTACAGGAAAATTTGGTGAGGAGTGTTAGCCATGAGACACAAGGCCCACCATTAAGTAGCGCTATAATATGTATACATGCGTAGACGTAGTACATTATTATATATATTAATTCGTTGTGTAGAATATAATATTTTGAAGGTATTGAGGTATCTGTTTGTACTAAAGAGGGCATTCACTTACATTAGATCTTACCATTGGGGAGGTGGAAGAGGAGAGCTTGGTAGGTCTGTGTAAAATTCTGATCTTTACATTCGTAGTTCTCAATGAACAACCCTTTCAATGAAGTGTTACTACCTAAAACAAGTTAGAACAACCCACCCAGGAAAGCAAAACCCATCATACAATGCCAAAGGGAAATAACTACTTACAAATTCAGGCCAATAAAAGCAGGAAGCATATTTCCCTTTAAAAACAATATTTTAAATGTTTAACAGAAGCAAAAAGTTACAACAGAAACAGTTGTATCCGGCACTGGAGAATCTTGCTCATTGCCTTAAAATTCATCAACTTTCTAAATGCAGCCATTCAAATACAATCCTTCCCCCACCTAATTTAAAAAAAATGATAGAAGCTAGTAACAAGTAGATGGCATTATCTTTTGGTGAGCGATTATTTTACCCAGATTAAAATTTTGTGAAATGCATTTACCTTTTAAGAAAAACTCCGGGCATAGGAGGCAGTTTTCTAAGACTGAGCCTGCTTCCGTTATGAGTCCCGTTTGGCAGAAATGACGAAATAAAAATTACCAGCACTGTCACTGCTGCCTTTAAGCTGTGTGTCATAAAGATCCTGTCTAAGCTCAAGGGTGGACTTCCTCTTTAGGGCTAATGCAACATTAAAAAAAAATCCTATAAACAGTTAAATTGCTTTTATGTATTTTGACACATGAACTTCAGAACATAAGAGGATAAGGTGAGTTCATTTCTAATTATTGATTGTTCCCTTGAATCACCCTGCCAGATATTGCGGAGATCACCATAGTAGGACATTATGATTGTCATCAAGGACCTCATGATCGTATCTATTCCTACCAGGGAAATGAAGCTGATAAAGTAAAGTGAAGAACAGATAGTGTTAAGTGTGGCTGTGCAGATGTCAAGTGTGTTCAGGGGGCTGAGATCCCTTCAGAAGGTAGGTGATTCATTTATGTATAAATATTGATAAAATATTATATTGATAAGTACTCATAAAGTAGTATTGATTAGTACACACACCAGATAGACTTTATGGACCCTACAGTGGGCTATGTACTGAGAGCAAGGCAGAAAATTTCCTTACCTTGTCTCATTGTAAAGGGGCATGAGACACCTCTCAAAGACATAGAAGAGTGACACTTGGTTAAGGGACATGAAGGAAAGAGTGCTAGCTAGAGAGGGAGTGATGGGAAAATGTCTTTAGACAGGGTGGACCACTAGGGAAGGCTTCTTTAGTCGTGGGCCTTTCCATTGAGAATCGAGAACGCTGACATGAGAAGGGGTTAAATCAGGCAGCCCAGGGCAGAGGGCAGAGGGCAGAGGGCAGAGCCAATCCTGGAATAGAAGCAAGAAAAAGCTGCGCAGCTAGAGAAAGGAGGCAGTGCAGGTGGACCTTGAGCTGGGGTGGAGGCTGACGCACAGATGGGGTTTGGATTCAGGAGAGGGAATGTGGGAGGGATAGATGGCCCAGGGCCAGGATGGTTTGCTGGGATTTAAGTGATGTACCTTTGGGATATCAGCATAATTCAAGAATGGGGCATTTGTAGAGGGTGGGAGGTGATAGATATATTAGAGGCTGATGGTGGGGTTCTTTAAATTCCAGCAAAATGTATACAGTTATGCATCCTTTAACAAGGGGACTGCGTTCTGAGAAATGTTTTGTTAGGGGGTTTCATTGTGTGGACATCATAGAGCATGCTTACACAAGCCTAGATGGTCCAGGCCAGTCACTCCTTGTGGCCCTTGACGCAATCAAAGAGGTGATTAAACACAAGATGCATCCTATCATGATCTCTTTTGCTCAAGTGGCTGGGGCGTGTGTTAATGGTAGAGACCCCAGGGTCTTTGTATAAGCTGTTCCCTCAAATGATCTCCTATCCTTCAGATGTCAATTTAACTACAATTTGTTCCAGAAGGCCTTTTATGAGCTCCTGGATTAGACTAGTTCACTTATCATATGTGCCCCTGTCACGTTTTAACATTAAGAACACTGATGTTGTTTAGTGTTGTGATCGCTAGACTGTGAGGTTTGTGGATATCATATTTTCTCATCCTAATTTCTAGCAGTGCCTGATCCACGAGGTGCTGTTTATAAATGACTAATGGATGAGCTTCCTGTTTTCCCAGTGGAAAACTTCATTCTTTGAAGATCCCTCCTTACTTTTCTCGTGTCAATAGAGGAAGTTTCCCTCTGTGGAATGCTGAATGTATTGGCCCACTTAAGGATTTTACTACCTCTATCTTCCTGTTTCTTTTCATTTTCTTTTTCCTTCTGTTGACTTTTCCTTCGATCCAGCCTCCCTCATTTTAGAACATTCCCTTGAGTCAACCTTTTGCTCTCTCTGGTTACTAGAGGAGTAACTTTCTGGAAATTCTTCTCCACGAGTCTATTTCCTCATTGTCCTCCAGTCCTGTAACCCCGGTGAATCTTTCTTCTGTCTCTACCGTTCAAACAAAACTACTCTGAGAAGGGCCATCAAAGACTCCTGAGCTATTATCTGTAATAGACACTTTGAGTCCTCCTCTTCATCTTCCTGCAAAATTGATTACTGTTGACTCTTCCTACGTGCAACTTCACACTCTCCATTTTATGATACTACACTCTTCTCGTTTTCTTCCAATGACTGACCATTCTTTCTTTTGCAGAATGCTTTACTCTGCCAACCCTCAAACACTGATGTTCTTTCATACTTTATACTTAGCTATATTTTTCCCTGAAAGTTTCTCCTGTATTCTGAACCATAGTAAATAGTACCCCCCCCCCCCATTTTTAACTCTCTCAAGCAAGAGACTCAAATTGATGCTTCTCTTCTTCCATTTTCTTCTTAGGCAAGTCTTCAACTCTTGCCTTTAGTACTTCTCACCAATTCCTTCCTTTTCACCTGCCAAAGCCTTTGGTCAAGGTTTTCAATATCATTTAGCTAGAATGACTCAGCCTGACTAGTTGTTCTCTCTCTCTCCAAACTGTCCTGTGTTTACTAGTGCTATTTCTTTTTCTTTGGGGTGGGGTGGGGTGAGGTGGAGGAAAGAACTGGGGGTTTAACCCAGGGACAATTTACCACTGAGCTACATCCAGAGCCCATTTTATTTTTTGAGATAGCATTTTACTAAGTTGGTTAGGGCCTTGATAAGTTTCTGAGGCTGGTCTTGAACATGCAGTCCTCCTGTCTCAGCCTCCTGAGTTGCTGGGATTACAGGTATGTGCCACCACATCCAGCTTACTAGTGATTTTTCTGAAAGGAAAATCTAACTATCATTCCTTCTCTGCTTAAAACTGGTGGTTGTCCCCTGTCCTTAGAACAAAATATAAGTAGGCGCAACATTTAAAGACCTATGATTTGTATTTTATTCTTGATTTCTTTAGAGTTTTAAAAATATTACACTACATCTTCTCTACAATCACAAATACTGCCCCCTCTAAGATTGGCTAACTTCCTCTTCCAAATGTCAGCTCAAACACCATTTCCCCTCTGGCCTGTCATCTTTTTGCTCTGTCAATGTTTTGTTGAACATTTCCATTGTCTCTCCGTGACTGGAATTTTAAAATACTATTCATTCAAGTTAACATTTATTGATATGATAGTTATTGTGATGGTTTATTATGTGTTAACTTGGTTAGATAGAACTATTTTCCATAATTCTATTCCCTGTTTTGGTTAGGGAAGACAAGTTTTTTTTAAAGAAAAATACTTTAATTTAAAATTCTGATTTATGCATAAAATTTTTATACCATGATTTTAGTACAAATTATAAAAATGTTAACACTGAAGTTTTCAACAGAAATCTATTCAAATCCCTTAGAAAAACTACTTAAAGACACAACAGCAATTATTGGTATAAAATTTATACATAAAGAAAAAACAATCATACATTTTACTGAAATTTTCAGTAAATTTTCGCCATTACTACTTATTGCAAAATTAAAAGTTCAAAAGTTGTGTGGGTGTGTGGCTCTATAGGAATTACAATTTGTAATGAAAGCACTAAGCCAAATCTCTCTGATCTAACCAGAATAATACAAATTTATAAAAAAATTAGTTGAAATTTGTAACTTTAAGGAAGTTACCAAATGTGACTAGAATAGGTGTATTGTAACTTAGCACAAGACTCTTGAGCAAGATTTGGGGGTGGGGTGTGGTTTGTGAAGTTCGTACATGTTGTGTTGGCTCAAAAGTGGTAGGTAGCTTGACAACTTCCCATACTTAACCTGGATCATAACTTCAGTTTCCGCTAACTTTTAGAACAGGCGTTTGAGATGAAGGACAACTACATCACTAAAATCAGAGACAATAAAAACTGACATGGGCTTCAGTCTGGGCTGTGATCTTTCCTGATTCCTATCATTCCTACTGCCTTCCACTTTGCATCCATCTTTCCTTAATTGACTGCCAGATGGACTTCAGCATCAGAAACAAAGACAACAGTCTAACTTAAGTAGCTCTCACGATAGTGTGAAGTCAAATCCCTTAAACATATATTCTAGAAGTATGAACCCTGACCTATTAGTACAAGGGAAATGACTAACTTGGTTAGACTGCTTAAAATGGTACTTGTCCTCTTAAAGCACCCTATGCTTAAATCTGTTATCATTTCAAATTCTTATTGTGTTCTTAGATTTTTTAAAAAAATTTTGAGGTAGTCGTTTTTGTCTCTGTATGACCAGGGCAGTTTGTTGCTTAGCACAAATAACTTTTTTTTTTTTTTTTTTTTTGTATCAGGGATTGAATTTAGGGGCACTTAAGTACTGAGTCACATCCCCAGCCCTATTTTTTTAATGTAATTTTTTTTATTTATATATGACAGCAGAATGCATTACAATTCTTTTTTTTTATTTTTAAAAAGTTGTTGATGGACCTTCATTTTATTTATTTGTATGTGGTGTTGAGAATTGAACCCAGTGCCTCATGCATGCTAGGCAAGCACTCTACCACTAAGCCACAATCCCAGTCCTACAAATCTTATTACATATATAAAGCACAATTTTTCATATCTCTGGTTGTATACATAGTATATTCACAACAATTCGTGTCTTCATACCTGTACTTTGGTTAGTAATGATCATCACATTCCACCATCATTAATTACCCCATGCCCCTCCCTTCCCCTCCAACCCCTCTGCCCTATTTAGAGTTCATCCATTCATCCTATGCTCCCCGCTCCCTATCCCCCTATGAATTAGCCTCCTTATAGCAAAGAAAACATTCAGCATTTGTTTTTTTGGGATTGGCTAACTTCACTTAGCATTATCTTCTCTAACTTCATTTACCTGCAAATGCCATGATTTTATTCTCTAATATTCCATTTGTATATATGCCACATTTTTAATCCATTCATCTACTGAAGGGCATCTAGGTTGGTTCCACAGTTTAGCTATTATGAATTGTGCTGCTATAAACTTTGATGTGGCTGTGTCCCTGTAGTATGCTGTTTTTAAGTTCTTTGGGTATAGACCTAGGAGAGGGACAGCTGGGCCAAATGGTGATTCCATTCCCTATTTTCCAAGAAATCTCCATACTGTTTTCCATATTGGCTGCACCAATTTGCAGTCCCACCAGTAGTGATGAGTGTACCTTTTTCCCCACATCCTTGCCAACACTTATAGCTGCCATTCTGACTGGAGTGAGATGAAATCTTGGAGTGGTTTTAATTTGCATTTCTCTAATTGCTAGTGATGATGAACATTTTTTTCAGGTATTTGTTAATTGATTGTACATCATCTTCTGAGAAGTCTCTTCAGGTCCTTGGCCCATTTATTATTTTGTTTTTTTGGTGTTTAGCTTTTTGAGTTCTTTATATACCCTAGTGATTAGTGCTCTGAT